AAAACGGACCGTTTTAACCCCCCCCCCCCCCCAAATCTTCTTGAAGAAATAGTGTGGCTGCTTCTGGCAAAACGCATACAGTTTTGCAGGAGTGGGTCTAGTAGATAAATCCTTTTTACATGTTATAGTCTCAACCTAGTTCTGCTGCATTGGGGGCTGAATTTCTGTCCTCTCCAACTGTTTTCACATGCAGTCCAGTCCTCTACATCATGCTGCTTTTATTATGTGCTATACCAGGGGGAAAAAAGCTAGAGTGCCACAGCAAAAATTACAGTAACGTTAGCTTTGTTGGAAAAGTCTGGAATACTCCAGGTTATTTTATCTGCCCAGTTGTAAGTTGTTGTTTTTTTCCCCCACTTTAAACCACATTTTTAGTAACGTTTACTTCCTGATTTAAATAACTTACCAAATTAATTTTTATCCTGCAAAATATCCTAAGTCCCAATTTGGCTTAATGCACAACAATTTATCAATACAACAATGAAAGTTATTCAAAAAATAAATAAACTGAGGCATTAATAACAATAATAGCTGCTTTGTGCCCTGAACTCCCAGCTTCCCTTTCGGAAGCTTTTTGTTAACAGATCAATTGTTCAGGTCATTCCTGTAAAGACCCTCTCTATCCATGCGGGTATTTCTAAATGTTGTGTTGTTGGCAAGACCTTGCATTGGAGTAATAGTAAGTGGGGGATGGTGACCGGGCAGATAATGCACAGGCTTGTTTCAGTATCTGAAGTACAGCATACTTGGCTAGCAAACGCATCACCAAGTATGTGCTGGAAAGTACTTGGACATTCAAAAGGCCAAGCAGTCGAGGCGCATCTTCCTTCATTATGGCTAGGGGCCTACCTAAACAGCAGTTTCATGGATCTTGCAGAAGCCACGAAATATGGTATTCTCTGCAGTCACTGGGAAATCTGGCATTGGGCACAACTTCCTGTGAAATCATCAACCAAAAAAAAAGTGGCAGTGATGCAGGCTGAGTAAAGGTGCCCTCTGCTAATCGGTGGTGAGGGGCAGGGCTACTGGGGGCCCCTCTGCTAATCGGCAGTGAGGGGTGGGGCTACCACAAAATACCTGTGAAATCGACTCTGTGCGGTGCGAGTGGGCCACAAAAAAACCCATCGTCTTGCCACAACCTTGAGTCCCTGATTTTTATGATGCTGACCTTGCAAAACACAGGATAAGGATATTCCTTCCTGCTTTTCCTGTAACAATTTGGAGAGTGGATCCAGACTGCAAGGCTTCCTGCTGGCTGGATGACCCGCAAATGGCATCAATCCTCGTGGCAGCCACAGCTGCTGCTTTCAGCATGGCTCCTGACCCCAGGGAGTTAATGCCACTGCTGTTCACTGCCTTCAGTCACCAGAGACCACTAAAAACACTCCCTCTTGGCTAAAAGAGGGAGGGGTGAGTGGCGTTCGCTCCCTGGGTGCTGGAGCTGTGGGGATTAGCACGGCTGCTGCAGGGGCTCTGACAGCTGTGATGAGCCCTGTGAGCCAAATCCAGCCTGCAGTGGTGGGTCGTCCAGTCCAGGGGAAGCCCTGTGGGCCATATATTGGATGTCTGAGTTGCATGCTCAGTTGTCTAGGACAGTTTAGATAAGGACAGTCCTACTTTGAGCAGGGGGCTGGACTAGATTGAGGTGGCCAACCCGTAGCATACTTGCCACAAGTGGCATGGGCAGCCTGTGTATATGGTATGTAGCAGATTGGGGAGGGTTCAGGGAGTAGAAAGCAGAGCAGTGGGTTTGGCAGAGCAGCAGATCAGGCACGGGAAAGGGATCAGTGGCATGCAGGAAAGACATGGGGCTAACTTGTGCAATGCCTGATGAAAAGGTGGATTTCTTCCTGGACTAGATGACCTCCTGCAGTCCCTTCCAGGCTTACTTTCTCTGTGATGATAGGAGTATATTTGTTTAATAGAAAGATCAGATGAGCTAACTAGACTAGTATTTAAATACCACAAATGGCAATGGTATGTATATCAAAGCATGATTAACTTGGAAATATTAACATGAAGACAGGTGCAAACATGTTTCAGATATTTGTTTAATTTATCCCTATGTGTACAACCCACAGGAACAAACCTTCTCCTGGCATCTCCTTGCTACTATACTCCTCTTATACCAATTTGTCTCCCTTTCATCTCATCTTGTAGAAATACTATGCGTCTTGCTTCTCTCTTCCAGGTTATTAATGATAACCCTTGGACTTGGTCTTCAAAAACCTCATAC